ATTTTTTTAAATATGTATTGCATTATACGAAATGAAATTGTACATGAAATGTCTTAAGTTTAACCATCGTGGTTTCAAAAACCTGTGTTCTCTTAAATAGGTAAATAATATAATACTACATCATTTATAAATATTATATTATAAAAGTGTTTCATAATTAATTTATCAATACTAAGTCAAGGACAAGTTTTATAATTACCAATGACCCTATGGGCATATCATAAAATATATACAACATTTAATACTTCTCTTGATAATTTGTACGATTTTTGATTAAAGTCATATATTGTGGCTTTATGTCAAATTATATTATTTTTTTTAATTCAATGCATTATTATGGGGGCCGCGATTAAAATTATGATTAAAAATTGGGTCGCAAGTAAATAAAGTTTGAGAAGCACTGCCTTAAGGTTGTCTTCGCCAAATGTACGAGAACCTGAAATAAACACGGAGCATATTTTCATACAGAAAAATGCCTTAATTTTCATGAAAATGTGCAGAATTGTACTTCATACATTTGTTTATAATACAGTTTTTAAATTTTCAAAGTATTTCACACATAAGTAACCGATTTTTCATTTTAACATGCAAAGGAATAACTCATTTAGCATTGCGGTATAAGGAGAAAAATGCAGAACACGTTTTATATCAGAAAAAATGTGTTAATTACGGATAAAAATGAGTAGTGTGATAAAATGATTCTCTACAACACCGGTTCTTTAACTTTTAATCACCGCGGCCTCCTTTTATGTATCAGCCTGACATCGCGCACCCCCCAAGATTTTGAACACCCCTCCCTGACTCCCAATACACGGCTGAGTGATTTAAAAGTTCCTCATGAATCCCAAGACCAACTCTGCTACTTATATACATACCTTAACACTTTTTTTTCTTCTAAGAAAACAGAAAACACCTAGTTAAAAATATTGCAAAATACAAATTTCATATAAATAAATGATGTACTTAACTGTATTAGTTAAAATTTTATTATAATACTGTTTAAATTATTTAAAAATGTGCTATTTTAATTTTCCCACGAGGCTTTTTAGAGTCTGTAAAAGAGGGAAATCAGTACATTAAATAAGAGACTTTCGCGGAACCCCTACGAAGGCGCTGGAGACAACGGGGGTCTGCAGACCGGTTTCAGAACCGCTGCTCTACAGCAGGGGTGTCCAACCCAAATGACCTTGAGGACACTTCGGAAAAACATTATAATCTCGCGGGTGGCACATAAAAATATGTACATTTATACAAGATTTGGAAACAAAAACACATTTATTGGAGTGAAAATTTAAAACAAAATGAATTATTATTGTTGTTTTCATTATTTTTCATGTATACAGACATAGATAATATAACAATGTTTATATAATATAATAATAAAATGATCAAATAATGTTTAAAATATTACAGTTGCCATTTTCTTGAAAATTACGGAGTTCCTTTTGAATTGACCTTTCGTTACTCATTGTTGAAATTTGATTGTGCTATCATTCTCTCAAACGATTAAGAGCACATTGCTTTTTATCTTAACCATCCTAAATAATTTTTTTAGACTTTAAAAAACACCTCCGACTGCTTCTTGCTTTTTGGGCACTTCAAACAGAAAAGGAGAAGGAGAAACGGAAGTGGCACACACAGAAAATCATGTACCATCCATAGTAAAGGATATGCATAGTGCAATTCGGAATTTATTAAAAAAGTAATTTATTACAGTAAAATCAAACGTATAACTGTTTGATAAAATATAAATCTATTTAAATCTAAAGGACGTTTCTATTATCAAAAAGGATTTATTTTAAAACAAGAACAGTTAACAGCTGAAATATAGTAGATTTATAAATACGTATATATATATAAATTTCCCCTTAAAGTATCCGACTACGTTCGGAACCGTGATTTTGCAAAAGCGTATAAATGGATAATATTTATGATATTTAGTGTCATTAGATTAGAAAATGTATATAAAATTGTTTTAAGAATATTATTACAATAAAAAATTATTTAAGTACAATATTTTGACATAAAATGAACATAGAATGACGCATTTTCAAAATATTCTCCTTTTGTGAAAATGCTTCTATTATAATAATATTTTGCCTTTATATAGCTCAGACCTCTGTACAGAGGCTCAGCTAGAATTTTTGAAATATATAACTTAGAAGTGGGTTTATCCATGTTTTACGACAACAGAGGGGAGAAATTTTAAGAAAAAAACGCCGATAATTATTTCAGTTGGTTGTAACTCTAAAAATAATGTGAATTTTTTGCAAAAATCATAGTTGAGCCTCTGTACAGAGGTCTGAGCTATATACAAGCAAAATATTATTATAATAGAATCATTTTTCACAAAAGGAGAAAATTATGAAAAAAAGGTTAATATAATATAATTTTTTGCTGAAATATTGTATTTAAATAAATCTTTTTGTCAAAATGTCCTTAAAACAATTTTATACATGTATTCTAATCTAAGTGACACTAAATACCATGAAAATTATCCATTTATGCGCTTTTTTAAAATCACGGTTCCGAACGTAGTCGGATACCTTAAACAAATTTCAAAATGAAAAAAAACTTTAAAAACCTGATATTTAAAATTTTTTTAAAAAGATTCGGCGGGCCGTAACTTACATACTGGTGAGCCACGTGTTGGACACCCCTGCTCTACAGGATAGCGAAGCGAAAATATTATATTAATGTTGGTTTACTTTTCTATCTGAAGAAATATTTCGAATTCGCGGGTCTTATTCTTTAACATTCAGCGAAGACAGCCTTAAGTGAGTTTAGAAAATACGAACAACTTACTTTTAGAAAATACAAACAACTAAAATGTAATAAACCAATAAAACTGTTTGATTTCAAAATATAATCTATTTGTTTTATTATCTTAACACCTTATCGTTAGTTTCACAACTGTGTTTCGTAAAATTTGATTTTTTTTATTAACAAGCGTGTGATTAATAACCCATTCTAAGAGATGTAATGCTAACATTAGTTTGAGATATTTAATATTCAATATACTACCATAGAAGGCCTCTGACGAATTTCATTTCTTTCAAATATGTTTCGATAACCTGATTCAGGAGATTTTTTTCACAAAATTATAATTAATTAATCATAATAATTGGGTTACGAGAAATTAAAATTGAAACGCGAAAATGTTTGACATTCAGAAGAGCTAAAGGAATTACTAAAAATCAAATATTTTGATATTTCTACCCTAAAATTATTCAATATTTCGTGGTATTAGATGAAGAATAACACCACAAACAGTTTTTCCAACAAATCTAAAATTCAAACTATCTCCTTAACCGAACATACCTCTTAAACGAACGTAAGTAAAAAAAAAAAAATTATAACTGATGCATCGTAAAATTTCTTCTCTATTGAAAGAAATTGTGATTTGTATGGTGCTAAGATCACACACAAAGAATTCTAACATTATAATCACACTATTAAAAGAAAAAATGCTAATGAAATTTTGTAAGAAAAATAAGATAAACCTTTTGATTCTCATACGTTGTAATCTAAGAATAAAAAAAAATTTTATTTAAAATAAATCAATTAGTAGTTTTAACTAATATATAATTAAAATAAATTCAACATTCAAAACACTTGAAATATGAAATTACATGAGACTTACCTGTTCTTTAAATTAATATTAAATCCCCAATATTCTTCGAGTCGAAATCTTACAGTGCTGATGAAAAATTATCAAAAGACATGCGTTCCTCGTGCTAGCAACGTCTAAATGCTCTTTTTCCCGGCTGTTCAATGCTCTCATCCCCTTTGGCACTCCACCCAGCCGCACCCAGAACCAATTGAATCAAAGAAGGAACTCTTTATATGGCAACCCAGAGAATAGTTCACGCCCAAAATATCAAATTGCAGTGTTGCCATCCTCTCATGCTAAACTTAAGAAACTGAAATTAAATTTTTAAGAAAGAAAAAAAAGGGAAAAAAAAATAGAAGGGGCACAAAAATTAACAAATTTTCACGTAATTTTCTCTTAATTTTATATTTTTTCCCCCTTTTATTTCCTAAATTTACAACTAACGTCACTGTGTTCCTTATTTTCAAATTTCTTTTTTATTGTTTTTTATAAGTTAAGAGTGACTCATTCTTAAAATTCAATATCTATTTGAAATATTCGAAGTATATTGAATTTAGTAAGTATAAGAATAAAAATAAATATTTAAATTTTAGTGCATATATTTTTATTTATGTTAAACTTACAGATCTATGTATCTAACTATATATATATATACAGTCGAACCTCTATATAACGAACCTCTATATTGCGAATTTTTCTATATAGCGAACTTTTTCCTGGAACCTTGAACATTTCACGATTTTCTTCGTAAAATAACCCCTCTCTACAGCGAAGTGCATTTTCTATATAACGAACTAATTCTTTTGTTTTTTCTTTTGTTGTCTTCTGTTCTCCCAATTTTTAAAGTATTTCAGAACATTTCAAGAGTTATTCTCATTTGTCAAAAATCTTGAACTGGTTTTATTAGATTCTAACTCACCAAGAGCAATAGAGTTCTG